TCAAATACTTTATTGTTTTTTGTTTTTTTCTTTTTTGAATAGATTTGGAATTATCCTGTCTAATTGATCCCTTTTTTCATCATACTCTGAAAGTTATAGAGGGGCATGAAATAAATTTATCATTGAAATTGTAACTTGATCCGAAGAGCCATACCACAATGAGTTGACAAGCGAAGGTCATAAGATTTGTAAACTTAATGGAATGCAACTCCAACGGGAAGCTAGTGTTATAAAACTATATGTAAGTGTTAATTATGCCCCTATTGTCTTCGAGAGGATTTGTAAAATGTTTTACTATGTGTTCATTTGTAAAATTATTATCCTCATTTGTAGCCCCAACCTACCTTGTAAATAGCCATGATTTGAACAAATTTGAAATTCCACTATCTGGGGATGTTTCATATTAATATGACTTATCAGGTCAGATTTGTTCTTCAATTTTATTGAAGCTACATACTTTTACATATAATTGTGACCCTACATTGTTGCCAGCCTAAAGCCCCTAGGACTATGATTGGAACAAACTTTAATGTACAACACATAAGCTACATCAAGAAGTTTCAGGTTTTTCTGACTTTAATCTGTCTTTGCCGTTTTCTGCGGATTGAACAAAAGGGGAAGCATACATCACCTGAGTGAGACCAAAACAAATTTAAAAATGACATATGTGAGCTATATTTTATTTTACCTGTATAATTTTATTTAACTTAAAAGGAGAATTGAGGAGTTGACTAAAATATCATTAAAATGTGGATTATTTTATGAGATGAAAAACAATATGTAAACTTCCTATATTGACTAGATTCATTATAATTTAGGGCATGATGATTTATATACTGCATTATGGTGGGGAGTGATTAAGTCCAGGACTTGATTTTCAAGCACCTCCTTCGATCGTAAAAAAAAAACTTGTGTGCCTCACTGGATGGCTATGTATTTTGGGTATAAAAATCAGTACATTAAAGAATTGTTCTGCACGGTCTGAAAAGAAAACTTCTGAGAAAGTTTGTTTTTAGTAAATTCCACCTAATTAAAGTTGCGCATTTTTGGTAAGAATGTATAGCTTAATTAAATACTGTTGTGCAACCCGTAGACCTTAAACTTATTGAAATGACTATACTATATTGCGCTCAAGTGTTCGTTCAAATGTAGAAGGTTTGCTTAAATATTTTAAGGACTGGTCCTTGTTTTAGGACCAAGAAAATTATGTATTTGTTTTAGATATAATGCAAAGAATGGTCACGATAGCACTTTTGAGCAGACTATTAGACTAAGTAAACTAGATTAACTTTATATTTACCTGATTAGACACGTTTTAGTTTATAGTGGGGAGTTTCTTAGTAAATATATTTTTATAACATTTTTCAGTTTTTTTTCCATTTTTTATCGTACCGCGGATTGTTTCTTTTGATTTGACTGCATCCTGAGTTGTATACTAAATAACCATTATAGTGAATGCTTTGTGATGTGAAGCATACCTACAAAGAATTTAGTTGAAATATCAAATACGATTTTAAACGTATATTTATATATGATTCAAAAGGTTATTTGCACTGACGAAAACTTCCATAATGGAAACTACATAGGTTAATGAGGACTCCATGTTATGATACTAATGCATATGAAAAGGAATTAAGATCTCATTCTCTATGCAGAGTGTTGCAGGGCCTTGAGTTCTGAAGATGTTAAACACTCATTATATTCCCGTAGCCAGCGTGGTGTAGTGGTTAGAGCGTCTGCTTTATAGTTGCAAAGTAAGGAGTCGATTTTTACGTCGCGGGTTCGAATCCCACTGTGGAACTTGTAGACCGGTCCTTCAAATGAGATCATATAAACTGAGGCCCCGTATTGCAGTAGGTTTTGGCACAAAAAGATCCCTCAATAGCCGTGTGCCGAGCAAAGGACAAAATCTGCAGCTCACCGGTAAGTTTTTGCCCTCAATATGAGTGAAAATTCTCCAGATATCGAGGGGCGTTAAACAACATGGGCTCATTATATTCCTATATTCAGATTAACATCTGACCTTTCACCTTTTTAGATAGAATAATATTAAGCCTAGGAGTCAATTATTCTTTACTGAACACCGAGATGTTTAAAGTAATTTTAATATTTTTTTATGCAAAATTACCCTTGATTTTTTATCATGTGATCACAAAAGCAAGCGGGTTATTAACCCCTTAAAGCTAACTGGAAATGGTGTACTCCGAGGAAAGAGAAAACTATAAATATTCAGGAAAACCCAAATGAAAGACGCGAGCTGACACTGAATTTTTGTATTCTCGTGTGTGGTAAAAAAAACTTTGGATGGGGTCGGTATTCCAGTAAAATTCCAATTACCTCCCCTTGTTGACAAACTCGTATGTTCTGTTGGCAGGATGAGAAATCTCTTACATGATCACACACATAGCATACTTGCTGACAACTGGCGGCTGAAGACATTTAAAAACAGAGAGGTCAAAAAAGTGTATGAGTATATCCATGAACAAAAGTTCAATTTAAAAATTTCAAATGTCAAATTTCATTTCTATCTCATTTGACATGAGGAATCTTATCAAAAGTACAGATATAACTAATGGAGTTTATTTCTACCGCTTTTAAAACAAACGTTAGGAAATCTATCATTGCGTCAAAATAAAAATTCTCGGGTTTTACGTACCTTCAAAATGGTAAAATATCAAAACAATGAACAGAGAAATGATCCTCGGTCCTAAAATTAAATGGACTTATCCTTAGATGAATTAAAATGAAATTAACATTACTGCAAATTTGCAGATAAGATTTTATTAAACTGATCCACACTTAAGAACCAATGACTGTCAATAAAGATCTGTGAACATAGGATTTGATTCAAATGGGTTAGTGTTCGTGGGCAACCAAATTTTTCCTATTAACTGGGGCGTTGTGAGTAGTTTGTTGACAAATCTGTTGTTAAGAAATGTTTGTTGGATGCAAATTACTTGGTACAGGCTGCCCACTAATAACTCAATAAAGGTTCCCCAAGAACAAAAAAAAAATCCACATCATTTGAAAAGATATGGCAAAATTGACTTGTATATATAACTTGACAAAATTCAAAGACATCAATAATTGGTCAGATTGTCAAATTTGATCATTTTTAAATAAATTCACCTGCCTTATTACCTTTTCTTGCCATCAGAGATATATGAATGTCCATTTTTGTGTATCAAACATCGAACACATATCAAAGAGATAAGCTCTTGAACTCTGACCGGTAAACCGATTATTATCAATCTAGCTACAATATATATCCTATTTCAAAATTCCTTCATGAAATTTATTGTGTTTGTGTTTAATACTATATTTTGATCCAACAGGCAAACACTTTTGGTACTAATCTCATGATTTATATATCTTGACAGTATTCAAGATAAGTTTAATTAATATATTCATGTACCATTCGAACTTCACATTTTTTTCCCAGAAATTTTTCTCTATTTTAAAGAAAATTTATCAATAATTTTGGTAGTGAAGTACTAGTAAGAAATGAAGATCTGTTATCGAATTTCATCATGATAAAAACAAAATATCTAAAATAAAAACTATCTAAAAAGTTCTTGCAAAGTATTTCTCCGCTTTCTATTAAAGTCATAAAGATTTCTGGACATGGGTGTGTATCATGACCTACTCAATAACGTTTTGCATGAAAGAGATAAAAATGATTCGCTCGTACTATTTAAAGAGTTTATATCTCAAATTTTAAGCTATTCATTTTTAATATAAACACAAGGATTGGTTTTAAATTATATAGTTGTTAAAAACAAGAATTAATAAGCAAAATTTTTAATTTTAACTTGACGTGTACATAAATGATTTTGTACCTCGGGCGTCAATCAAGCTATTACCTCATCTTGATAGTCCAATCAACCTTTGACACTTACTTATACCGGTATATAAAGACATAGAAAGGTGAACTTGTATAATAACGCACTAAGTAGGATATTTATTTTAGTCGAAAGGTTGTTGCAAAGGATACTAAAAATCGAAATTCCGTAAACTTACTTTAAAAGGATACTGTACCTACAGATTTCGATTGATTTCAATAAAACTCGGTATACAAATAGACAGCACAAAAATACGTTTACTGTACATTTTTTATTTGATAAAATGTTAACTCATAATTATGAAAAATAGGAATTTCTTTGAACTTACGTTAAGCCCTACACCTGTCTAGTTTTTGTATTATTTCAAATATAATAATTTGACAAACAATTAAACTACATTAAGATGCACCATTTAGTGCAAAATTTGTTTTGATTTTGATGAATCGTCTTGCCGTGGCTAAGATACATTATTTAGTGCATTGAATTATAATGTTGATGAAGGGTGTTGCAATAGTTACTGAGAAAAGAAAACTTCTGTGAAAATTGCTGTTAAGCCCAACTGCTCCACTTGCTTTGAGGTGATCTTCATATAATTTTGCATACAAGTAGACTGCACTAAACAATTAAGTGCATAGATTTTGATTTTGATAAATGGTGTTTCGATGATTACTACTTTAAATGGAAATTTCTCAAAATGCTTCTCCTCAAGTTTTGATTTTATTTTGATATTAGACTACATATAGATAATACAATCCGTTTATTGCCGTTTCAAAGTTTCAAATGTAAATTCTACTTTAGCTGTTTTCTTCCTTTGCTTTAGGTACAAACCATTAGGGATACAGCCTTATCAGAGTCTTCCAGTTTGATATTTTCATTCGTGCACTCGTGAAAATAAAGAACAAATCCTGTCTGTCTAACTCAAGAAAAAAATAAAAAAAAAATATTTAAACTTTTACTTTGTCATCCCTTTGCAATTCCTGATGGAATAAATCTAAAGAATTCTTTTATTATATTATTTTTAGTTTGCTATTAAACAATTAGTAGATCATTTACACAGCAAAAAATGATTTTTTTTTTTCATAACAGTAAATGAATACAACATACATAAAAACAATATAAATGTGTGGTCCTGCGATTACTAAAATTTGATGTCCAAATTTAAAAACTGGTCTCACTTTTCAACATTCTGGGTGTTTCACACGCACTTTGGAGATCCGTACTATTAGTGATTCCCGCCTTGTCCTTAAATGTCTTTTTGTACATAAGAATTGTCCTTTTATTGCAAACAAAACCCAGAAATATGAACACACCATGTGATGTGTTTAGAACGGAAATAATGTACGAGAAATAACTTGGCGGCAGAAGCCCGTCTAAGATCTGTAAAAGCCAGATAGCCCCTGTTATAGGAAATAAGCGTACACATATTAAAAAATCGTTCCTTTCGGGTTTGTTGCTTGAAACTGTTGGAGAAAGTTTGATTGCACGTATTGTCTGTAAAAAGAAAAAGACATTACTGATGCAGAGAAGTCCAACAGGAACTAGAAAAGTACAAATTAAAGACATTTTCCCATCTATGAAACAATTTTGTTTCCCATAACCAACATTCCCATGAACTGAAAACATGATAACCAAATACCCGAAAACAATACAAAGTGGCAGGAGAAAAATATAAATACAATACTTTATAAACAGGAACTTTTCATTCTTGATATGCAGAGGTGTTCTTGTGTGAAAAACCCGATACATATGAAAACAGCAAACGTTCATACTTGTAAAAGACGACAGCCAGAAGTAATGCTGAAGAATACCAACAGCTACACATTTGTTGGTGTTTTTGCTTTCCCCGTAACTCGTCAGAGATACAATATTTATGATAAAGATAGTAAAAGCAAGACCCATGATCATTTTCCCTGGTAGTGATCTAAGTTCTTCGAAGAAGCAGTACGTAAGAAACGTGATCAACAGACATACACACGACAATATAGAAAATGCAACCGAGAGTGTAAGTAAAATTCTTTTAAAATTGTTTTCCTTATTCATTCTAGGCCACAACACATCAATGCATACTCTGATATCCCCATTCTCCAATATGTATGCATTTACGGCAGGTAGAGAGATATCGAAGCTCTTGAGAAACACTATGTTATGAATGCTATCAAATTCATACTCTTCTAATTGGAATTCCACTTGTTTGCACATCAATACGTTAGTGATATGTACTGCTCGATATCGTAATATATGATCCCATGAATTACCATCAGTTGAATTTGGACTTCGGTCTTTTCCTTCTAGTTCCATTCTGTTGGTGTGATTCTTCCCTACGGAAAAATATTTCTTCTTGAAATCAAACAGAATAAAGGTATCACTGCAGATATATTTCAATTTTGTTTTAGTGAATTGAATAAGCAATCTTTCCGTTTTTAAGCGATGAACTGATTCATTGATGAATATTGTAGATTGAATCCATCCTTGGAATTTTCCGTACTTCTTCTGAACATATTCTATGCGGAAGATATTGAAAAATAGATTTTGTGTTAGCTTTACGGTTTTCTTAATTTTGAATGGTATGAAATCTGTGACCAGATCTTCAATATCTTCCTCTGATATGTTGTTTATAGAAAATCCATCGAAAGTTATATCCAAATTATATCGAAGATTTTTGGTAATTGAAAAGAGCGGGATACAGCTTTCTCCACGACTTAAATACTTTCCAGGAAAGCATGTTATATTCCTGCAGATTCCCTGAAAAAAGTGAAGGCATTTTAAGTTGAATTATTCATATTATTACATTGTAATATATTTTTCCTACTAAGAGGCATGTAAAATTATATATCTAACTTGCTTATTAAGCTCATAAACATTTGATGATGAAATAACTTACAAGGGATGAGTCATAAATTTGGTCATTTGAACACTGACGACCACGCAACGCCTCAGAATCCATCTCTTTATAATCACCACTGACGGAAAACAAACTGCGTAGCAAAGGATACCAAACGAGGGACTTTGACGCCATATTGTCTTCTTCATCTACCTTTCCACCAACCATCCCTTGATCTATGGATAGACCGGGGATATTACATATTGCACAATGCAAATTCTTGTAAGGAGCATAGAAATACACCTTTGGAAAAAAATCGCAATAATCCCCAATCATACCAAATGTTTTTTGACATTTGTCAATTGTTATTTTCACGTCTCTATCTGGGTTGCACATAGCACAATAAATGTTTTTATATATACCCCCTCCGAACTCATTAAATGCATTCCATTGTTGTTTGTTTGTATATGGTAGATCCTCGCATGCCCACCTAACATCTGAATCTATCATTGGCCAAAATCCCGTTTTGTTACATTTGTCTACAAAATTAGTCGAGGGTTTGTCACATTTTTGACTGTTTGTTGGCGGATAAAGAGTTATATTGCAATCAGCTTCTCTTAAAGATTTTATAAAACTACTATAATGCAAGAAGTTTGTGTGTTCGATATATGAAAAACAATGTGACTTCATCCTCCAGGGTTTGTAATTTTTTTCTGTTTGAGCAACACTACACAATAAACAATACATATTTAAATACGGAATGCCTGTCGATAAATCCGTGACTGGGTGAATAGAAAATGCATCTCCCGACGGTTTCCTACACCTTTGATCTATAAACTCGGGATAACTATCTAGACCATAACACCCATTTGTCACTAAACTTTCGTTAATTGTTCTGTTTGAATCCGATTGCGGGAATATTCTTTCTTTTAAGCAAGTTGTAGGATACATCAAGTATAGATCTTTACAGCAATACCTGTTTCCAATGTCGAATATGCAAGATGTATTACATGAACAGTAGCCGGAATTGAACTTTGTTGGAATTTTGTATTCTCCACAAGTTCCCGATACAAAGTCCATTGAATACAACTTATGAACTAGATTTGTCAAATCACTGTAATTGTGTTTCATCAAAACCAGATCACGTGATTTATTTATCATTTTGATTTCTCCGAATTGTTCAAAAACTTTTTGCTTAATTAAAAGGAAGTATTCCTCTGAGAATTCCCGCACATCCACAAAGAAGTAAAATATAGGTACATCGGATCCATTACGAAATAAGAGATCGGTATTTATGTCCAAACTTACATCTAAAAATGGAAATTTTGATGAATTTGGTCGGTTACACAAATAGCAAAATATATTTTTATATGGCAAAGTTCCAGAGTTGTCTGGATAATATAAGCACGCGTTATTTACTGTATGGTTAAACGTATCCCACATTCCACTCATGTTGCACCGAGATATTGTGTTGACAGCAGTGAATGTTGGATTACACATTTTACAAAACATATTTTTGAACAGTGTATCATTATTGAAATAATCGGCATCACATCCAAATTCAACACTCTGGATATAATGTTTCCACGTCCCTGTTTTATTACAAGAATTAAAATATTGCTCGTTTTCTTTGTAACAGTTGTAAGAGATATTTTCATTTGGAGGATATGACTGTAACACACATTTTTGCGCCATGGCATTTTTGATGACGTCACCAAAGGTCGAAATAAATTAATGTCCAGAAATTGATCACAGACTATATCAATAGGCCAGGTTAAAAAATTCGAATCATCGTTGCAAATCGCATAAAACCGGTTATAATAGGTTCGAGAAGTATCGTAACTTGTAACTGGTGGGTATTTCAGTTTATCGACTTCATTTGTGACGTTTTCGCATTTTTTGACAACATCACTCTCTAAGTTGTGTAGACAAGAGTCAATCATTAAATATTATGTTCTTTGTTTTCTTTCAATGTAATTTAATGACGCATTAACGATCGTGACATTCTTACAGGTCGGTACTGGAGGAGAAAAGAACACATCCGGGCAACAGTCACCTCTGACGTAACACTTCTGATCACAAAAACATGGCGGACAACGCGGGTGCAGTGCTGAATCTTTGACCTCTAAGGGAAAAAGTGTTTTATTCAGGAAACAAAAATGCCC